TAGCCATAAATCTAGAGTTCACATTTTCTTGACTTACTCATAAGTGATTTTTGCTAGGTTATCTATTTCAATCAGATACCTGTTTGCTCCTATTTACATTCCTAACTGAACAATGTCTTAAACTGACAGAAAATGCAGGTGATCTTATGACCAAATGCCTCATGCAAGGAAAAAACTTGAAACTGCAAGAGGAGTCCCTCCAAATATAGAAAGGACCAGTATTTTAAGAGAGATGTTAACTAAAATGTGGCAATGTAAGGAGCAGAGCAGGAAGAACCTTTCCGTCGGAAACTTACAACAAGTCAATTTCATAGTTAGTTTCCGTGGTCCTTCCACAACCACCTCTGGCATCTGTTTTCTCTACAATGGCGGCAACAATAGTAGCTATTTCAGAGCAGGAAAAGGCTTAGAGCAGTGCTAGAAGAGGGTCCTGGCTCTATAAAGTTCAGTTGTTTGTATATTGTAACAAACTTACTTTTTCTTTTTGGTCAATAACAGATTTCTTTTGGAAAAGTAGCAGCCTCCTGTCCAGAGAACACCTGCAGTTCCCACTAAGTGAACATTGGTGTCTGCTAATCTTTGCCTCTGTTTCTCTCAACAACATACTGTCAAGCTGTTCCTTGATTTAGCCGTTTTATTTACTTTTTCTTTTTTTTTTCCTTTCCCTTTTCCTGAGATACAGTCCCTCTCTTGTTTCCCAGTCTGGACTGCAGCAGCGCCATCGTGGCTCACTGCCACCTCCACTCCGGTCTCAAGCAATCCTCCTCCATCAGCCTTCACAGCAGCTGGGACTACCCCCCGGGCCCACCACGCTCTGCTCAGCATTGTGGTTTTTGTTTTTCCGTTGAAACCGGGTTTGGGGCCAGACTCAGTGACTCATGCCTGCAATACCAGCACCCCCGAAAGCCAAGGCCGGTGGATCACCCGAGGGGAGGAGGTGGAGACCAACAGCCCGAGCAACATGGAGGATCCCAGTCTCTACCAATAAAAAATAAAAAACTAACCGGGCAGGGGGGCTCACGCCTGCAATCTCAGTCACTCAAGAGGCTGAGGCAAGAGAACCACCCAAACCCAGGAGGCAGAGGCCGCGGGCGAGCGCGGGGGTCCCCGGCCGACTGCACGTGCCAGCCCTGGGCCACAAGAGCGATAACTCACGCCTCGAAGGACATGAAAAAAGACCCCGAGACCAGGTTTCCCCTTGTCGTGCCGGGGCCGGTCTGGAAGCGCTTAGGCTCAAGCGAATCCGCCACGCTCAGCCCTGCCAAAGGACCTGGGATCCCAAGCGTGAGCCACCGACGCCAGGCCGATCTATTCCTGTCTGACTTAATAAGACTGGGCCGTTAGGGTGAGCTGGCTCAGCGCCTGGCGAAGGTCCCAGCACCCGGGACCGAGGCGGCGCAGGATAACCTGAGGTCAAGAACATTGGCAGACGAACGTGAGCATAAATGGACAAAGCTCCATGTCTCTTACAACAACAACAAAAATATATAGATACGTATGTAGCTCGGAGGTGGTGGCTCACGCGCCTGCAACTCCCAGCCGACTCGGGCAGCCTGGGTGAGGAGAACCACCAACAACCCGGGAGGCGGGCTGCGGGAGCCGAGGACCCTGCCGCGCACTGCACTCATTCTGCGGCAACCACAGAGCGATTGTCTGTTTCACACTCTCAAAGGCAAAAGCAAAAAAACACAAAAACAAAAACAAAAAAGAAATAGAGACCTCAAGTTTCACCCATGGTGCCACAGGCGTCGGCCTGAACTCTAGGCTCAAAGGCGATCCGGCCCCCGGCTTGGGCAGCAGTCCAAGGTCGGGCGATCACAAGCGTGAGCCGCCCGGTGCCAGGCACTGACCTCTCGCTTCCCTTTCGATTAATAAATTACCGGTCATGTGCGCCTGCGTCATTGCCTGCGATGCCCAGCACCCGCGGCGAGCGCAAGGCGGCGCGTGGATAACCTGATGTGACGTTTACGAGATCCGCGCTGACAACATGGAACTCGTCTGTGCCAGTAGAAAAAAAAGAAAAAGAAAAAAAAAACGAATGCCGGCCGGTCTGGCTCACGCGCCTGCAAATCCCAGCGCAGCTGGAGGCGGCTGTGTGCAGAGACCACCCAAACCCGGGACGGCGGAGGCCCCGCGGGAGCCCAGACATGACAGCTGCACTCCGAGCCTGACGCAACAAGAGCACGCCTTCGCCGCCTCCAAACAGAACATAAAAACACCAGACCCCTGACATTGTCACCATGCTTGCCCGAGGCCAGTCTGGAACCGCCTGCAGCTCAACGCGATCGTGCGCTGCGCTTGCCAGCTCCTACATCTGGTCAGAAAGCGTGAGCACACGCCAGGCCGATCGAACCGTCCTAGTCAAGTAATGCCCCGCAGCACGTGTGGGGGGCCTCGGTGGGTGGATCACCGGGAGGTCAGGCTAGCTTTCGCGAGCCAGCTGGCCCAACCATGATGAAACCCGTCTTACCGCAGAAAATGGAAGCTTGTGGTGACAATGTAGGCCGAGGTGCCGGCGCGGTGGCTCGCACGCCTGTAATCCCAGCACTTTGAGGGCCGAGCGGGCGGATCACAATGGTCAGGAGATCGAGGACCACGGCTGAAAAACGCCGCCCGGTTTCTACCTAAAAATACAAAAAAATCTAGCACTCGGGCGAGGTGCGGGCGCCTTGTAGTCCCACGCTACTCGGAGCTGAGGCAGGAGAAATGTGGGCGGAACCCGGAAGGCGAGTTGCAGGAGGCCCAGATCGCGCCTCCTGCACTCCAGCGCTGGCGCGAGCAGACGCGAGACTCTTCGTCCACAAAACAAACGAAACAAAAAAATTAGGCCGACGTGTGTGGCGGCGCCTGTCATGTCCCAGCTACGTCAGGAGACTGAGGCGGCGAGAATCGCGTGAATGGGGGGAGGCGGAGGTTGCAGGAGCCGCGGATGTAGGCGGCACTGCCACCCAGCGACTGGGTGACAGAGTGAACTCGCCTCTCAAAAATAAAATAAAATTAAATTAAACTGGGTGCGGTGCACCCTGGCTCAGCTTCGCATCCGCAGCACCCGGAGGCCTCGAGTGGGACGGTAACCTGAGGTCAGGATGACCAGCCCTGACAACAGGGTGAGTTTATATATCAGTATCAAAAAAAATGTATGAAAAAGAAAAAAAAAAATAGAAAATGTAGTCGTGCTGTTATGGTAGTTGTGCGCCTGACGACTGCTGTCACTTTTGGGTAAGGGTCTCGAGGCAGGGAGAACACTCCAAACCCAAGAAGCAGAGGCCACGGGGAGCTGAGACCGAGCCACTGCACTCCAGCCTGGGCAACAAGAGCGAAACTCCGCCTCAAAAACAAAAACAAAACAAACAAAAAAAGGGAGACCCGGTTTCACCATGTTGCCCAGGCTCAAGCGTCCGTAGCGCTTGGCCATCCAAAGTCCTGGGATCACAAGCGTGAGCCACCACGCCAGGCCAATCTATTCCTTTCCGATTAGTAAATTGGGCCTTAGGCACTGGCTCACGCCTGCAATCCCAGCAGCCACGGAGGCCGGGGAAGGCAGATAACTTGAGGTCGGGAGTTTGAGACCAGCCTGACGAACATGGGGAAACCCTATCTCCACCAAATAAAAATAAAAATAAAAAATACAAAATGAGCCCGGCATGGTGGCTCACGTGCAATGCCAGCCACTCAGGAGGCTGAGGCAGGAGAACCACCCAAACCCGGGAGGCGGAGGCCAGATGAGCCCAGACCTCGCCATTGCCCTCCAGCCTGGGCAACAAGACCGAATCTCTGCCTCCAAAAAAAAAGAAAAAAAAACTGACCGGGTTTCACCATCGTGCCCGGCCTGCCCAGGCCGGTCTGGAACTCCTAGGCTCAAGCGATCTGCTGCGCTCGGTCGTTGAAAGTCCTGGAATCAGAAGCGTGAACCACCACGCCAGGCCGATCTATTATTCCTTTCTGATTAATAAATTGGGCGGTGCACGGTGGTCCCCGGCTGTAATCCCAACACCTGGGGAGGCCAAGGCCAGCGGATAACCTGAGGTCGGGAGTTTGATACCAGCTTGATGTACATGGAGAAACCCCTCTCCACCAAAAAATTAATTAATTAATTAAAATACAAACTGAGCCAAGCATGGTGGCTCACGCCTGCAATCCCAGTCACTCAGGAGGCTGAGGCAGGAGAACCACCCAAACCTGGGAGGCTGAGGCCATGGGCAGCAGACACCCCACCACTGCACTGCAGCCTGGGCAACAAGAGCTAAACTCACCTCGGGGGAAAAAAAGATAGAGAGAGACCAAGTTTCACACGCTGCCCAGGCCAGTCTGGAACTCCTGGGCTAAGAGCATCCTCCCTGGGATTATCTTAAAGTGTAGTTGGAGAAAGTAAACTAGCCCCAAAAACTTTTTGCAAAGCCTCATGTATAGGTGTTCCTAAATGATAAAACTGTGTTGCTTATTTTAAATATTTTGAAGTTTATAAAACCAATTGAGTTGGTTAACTATTTTGACATTTATAAAACTGGTAGCATGAAATTTTTTGAAATGTTTAACAACACACAGTATTTCTTGTAAACTTCATCCACACTCATGTATGGAGCGGTAGTTAACCCATTTTCACTGCTGTGTACTATTGCATTGAGTAAACTTTCCACAACTGATCTACTTTTTCCCATTCTTCCCGTCACTCAACTCCCCGGATTCCTTCTATCATCTCTGAAAAATTGTATTTCCCAAAGATGGCACAACAATATTCCTCGTACCATGTGCTCGTCTCTTTGTGACATTGCCACTATCCCATCAGGAAGTGGAGTTTAATTTCCCTCTCCTTGAATCTAAGTGGCCTTGCGACTGCTTCAACCAATAGAGCATTGCAGAAGTGATGCTGTGTGACTTCTGAGACTAGGCCATAAGTCTTATGATAATGCAGTTTCCACATTGTTCACCAGAACACTCATGCTCTGAGTGACCATTAGTCACCATGTAAAAAGTCCAACTACCCCAGGGCCACCATACAGAAAGGGAAACTAAGTACGGACCTGTTTCACATGAAACGTTCTCTGAGATACTTTGAAGGTGGGAATCTGGGCACCCTGTCATCCTTCAACCTGGCACTTTGACAGGTCTTTAGGGAGGGTCCTTTGGGCCCCATCTCAACTCTCTCATTACAGAGGAGTCCAAGGATCTGGCCGACCGCCTGCAATGTTCATTGCAGCGTAAAGGAGAGTTAGAGCGGGCTCTCTCTGCTGTCATCGCCACACAGAAGAACAAGGTGGACAGGGTGAGTCCAACCACCTTCCCTGTCCCCTGGGAGCCCGGCTTCGCAGATGGAGGAGTGAGCCTCAGGGTCCCTTCTGCAGGATGGAGTGGCCTGCCCAGGAGGCAGCATGGCCTTGTCTCGCTGCTTTTGTGTGTGGTTGTTAGAGGCAGCCTGGGGCTGAGTCAGCTGCTGTGGGTGAGTTGGGGGGCGCGGTGGGGAGTGAGCACTGGATGCAGAGCTTGGAGGCCAAGTGCCTGCCCTGCCCTTACCTGGCTGTGGTCTTGGCCAAGTCCTAGGTGGGGTATTGGGTACTTGTTCTGTGAAGGTGCAGAAGATTACCTTTAGTATGTTACCATTTCTGTAGAGAGGAAACCTGTGTGTGTGTGTGTGTGCACATATTATGATAGTATACATAAAACATGTCTCCAACAGTTCAAAAAAAAACTCGGGAGAGAGCAACAGGGTGGCTGGGAGATACTTCCCTTCTGTACCTTCTGAGTTTTGGACTATGCAAAGGTATCATCGTTTCAAAAACTGAACGAAAGATTAATTTTCCCCTTCCTATCTGTGCTCCCAACCCCAGCAAAAAAATGGGCTTAGAGAATCAGATAGACCTGGGTGTTCAAATCCCAGCTCTGCCTAAGTGATGTTAGGCAAGCATTTAACCTCATATACTCCATGTTTTTTCATTGACACAATAGAGGGAATCATACTAACTGTCTCCTATGGTGGTTGTGAGGAGTAAATGGGATTGCTAGCGTGGTGCCTGGTGAAGCACTCCATAAACGTTCAGACAGTGCTAGCAATAACAGTAATAACAAGAGCAATATTAACTGATCTCTCTGGGCCTCTGTTAGGCAGCTGTAAATTCGATCTCTTTCCCTGTCCCTTCCAACTTTACTGAGTTCTTTTAAAAACCAGACCATGGGCTCGGAAGTGCGTTGATCTTTATTGACTGAGTTGTATATTGAGCCTAGCCCTAGCCCTTTTAAGGGGCACTGTGTGGAATGGCCCAGGCTCCCCAGATGGAAACTTCTCACTCTTCACCATCCAGTTCTCAAGCCGCAGTCAAGCACTTATTGAGTGGCAGTTAGAGCAGTCCATACAGGAGAAGGCACGGCTGAAAGCAAGCCTGACACAGGTGAGGTTTTGCAGAGGGAGGGATGTGGAAGGAAGATGATCCCAAGTGGCCAGGAGCAGGTGAGGACCAGTGACAGCCCTTCCTAACTTCTGTGCCCATTCTTGCAGTTGAAGGAGTCACTAAGAGAAGCCCATCTGGAGAGGGATGAGTATGTTGAACATCTAAAAGGAGAGAGGGCCCGGTGGCAGCACAGGATGAGGAAAATGTCACAGGAGGTGAGGTCTGATCCTTCAGCTCCCCCATCTTAGATGGGTCATGGAATCTTTCTGGGCATCTGTAAAATGGGAACAGTACAGCCAGAGGTGGTCATGGGTCTGGGCTTTGTGGAGGTGGGGGCAGAGAGGGAGATGGCAGCCACCAGCCCCTCTCTCCAGGGCCCTTTCCCCCTGTGCTTTGGGCAGGTTTGCACATTGAAGAAGGAGAAGCAGCATGATACGCATCGGGTAGAGAACCTGGAGAGGAGCTTGTCCAAACTCAACAACCGGATGGGTAAGATGGGGCTGGCATGACCTGGGAGCAGGCCTGGCATCAGAGGGCTGTGGTGGGGCTTAGAATGCCCCAGGGTGGTGGGTGGATGGAAGGGCTTTGAGGCAGAGGGAAAGAGGTCTGTGCCAGGAGACGGCAACTCTTGTCATCTCCATTAGCCCCAGTGTCCCCATCAGCAAAGAGGGCCCATTGTCAGCCACCCACAGTGCTCTCCATCTGAAAGTGGTTGGAAGATTGGCTACCATCCAGGTGCAAGGAATCATTAGCAGTGAGACCAAGTTTGGGGAGCCTGAGAGGAGCTGTGCACCAAGAGGAGGGGTTTTTGTTTTGGAGAATCCAGAGGCCCTTATTGTCTACTTCCTTTCTCAGCTAAACCCCTGCCCCCGGAGCCCCCAGCAGTGCCCCCTGAGGAGGAGCTGCAGCACCTGAGGAAGGAACTAGAGAGGGTGTCAGCAGAGCTCCAGGCCCACGTGGAAAACCATCAACACGTAAGTCTCCTGAACCAGGCGCAAAAGGAGAAGCTTCGGGAGCAGGAGGAGACGCTTCAGCAGCTGGTCGAGCCACAGAGCAGCGTCGAGGAGCTGGTGCATTGCCCCACCTGCGGAGCCTGCCCTCCTCCCTAGCCCTCCAGGCCTTTGTTTCCCCACCTGTGAAATGGGGCAGTGTAGCCCTCACGTGAAATGTTACTTCTAAAGGCACCTGTGAGCCAGGGCCCTGCTCTGGTGGCTATGGGACAGAGGGGATGATTTTTCTAACCTGCCTCCACCCTTCCCCGTGCCGTGGGAGGCAGACACCGAGTTCTGGGGTCTCCAGTTTCAGTGGGTGGCTGCTGATTGCTTCTCTCTGTCCAGAACAACGAGAACAAGAGCGCACTGCAGTCGGAGCAGCAAGTGGAGGAGGTACAGGAGAAGCTGGATGAGGTGAAGGAGACGGTAACCTCTGCCCCATCCAAGAAGGGCTGGGAGGCGGGCACCAGCCTCTGGGGAGGGGAGGTGCCGGGCCAGAGGCAGCTCCAGCCTGGGGGAGGTGACTCCACCACCCTCCAGGACAGTCCCGTGACTGTTTCTTGCTTCCTGTCCCCTGACTTTTAGAGGTGGGTAGCCCTGGGCTCCTCCCAGGTCTGGACATCATCATCCCAGCTAGAGGCATAGAGCCCCCCAATCATAGGGGAAGAGATAGTGGGATAAGAGGCTCCTTACACCAGGCATGGCGGCTCACGCCTATAATCTCAGCACTTTGGGAGGCTCAGGCAGGAGAATCACTTGAGGTCGGGAGTTTGAGATCAGCCTGGCCCACATGGTAAAACTTCATCTCTACTAAAATGACCAAAAAAAAAAAAAAAAAATTAGCCAGGCATGGTGGTGCATGGCTATAATCCCACCTACTCAGGAGGCTGAGGCCCAAGAATCACTTGAGCTCAGGAGGTGGAGGTTGCAGTGAGCTGAGACTGCACCACTGCACTCTAGCCTGGGCCACAGAGTGACACTCTGTCTCAAAACAAAACAAAAAGGCTCCTTAGATTAAAACTGGATTCCAGCTTCGGTTTCACTGGTCACCATTCAAGTACTTTGCATCTCTAAGTCTCTGTTTCTTTAACTTCAAAAGGAAGTTAGCATTTTCCTTACAGAGGTGCTGAGGATTAAATGAGATAATACATGGAAAGCGTTAGGCCTATAGCACACTTAGCACATAGTGGTTGGCTCCCACTGTTTTTCCGTCAGTCGGTGGCCTACAGTTTAAATAGTAAGAAAAGGGTATGCCATTTGAGGATGGGGAAAAAGGCATGGGGTTCTAGGAAAGGGAGGCAGTCACTGAGACCTGGAGCAAGGGGCCCAGGTCCTGGTAAGATGACAGAGCCCCACAGTGCCCTCACTACCCTATTAATGGGCCCAGAATCTGGAAGCCAGTCGCCACGTGCCCTCATACCCAGGGTCTTCCTGCGGGTGGAGCTGAAGAGCCAAGAGGCTCAGAGTCTGCAGCAGCAGCCAGACCATTATCTGGGTCACCTGCAGCAGGCCGTGGCCATCTATCAGCAGCAGGTGGTCGCCTATCAGCAACCGACCTCTGAGAAGGAGGCGCTGCACAGGGAGTTACTGCAGCAGACCCAGCTAATGAACCAGCTGCAGCAGCAGGAAGCTTGGGGCAAAGCGGTGGCCGAGATGGCCCGCCAAAAGTTATAGGAGACCCAGGAGAGGGAGCTGCTGAGGACGGGCCCATGAGGGGGACGACCTGGCAAACTCCGTGCCTTCTTACTCTTTCCTGGCCCCTTAGGAGCACCTGGAGGCTGCCAGGCAGCAGAATCAGCAGCTGCAGGACCAACTGAGCCTCATGGCTCTCCCTGGGGAAGGTACGGGAGACCACTCAGAGGAAGAGGAGTGAGCCCCAGGAGGAAGGGGGGACTGTTAGCAGCGTAGGATTGAGGAGTTGGAAGAGATCTTTAGAACAGCTGGTCATTATGCCGACCGGGTGCCTGCACTAAGTTTGGCATCAATATGGTGACCTCCTGGGAGCGGGGGGGGCCACCAAGTTGCCTAAGGATGGCTGAACTGGCCCAGATCAGAAACGGAGCAGGTCAGAACTCCCGCACTGACTGGTAGTGGGACTGTGCCTGGGCAGTATAGCAAGATCTTGGTTCTTAAAAGTAAAAATAAAGAACAGCAGCTCATTCCTCTCTGGGAGGGGCTGGCTCAGGGTTACCCAGTGAGGGTGGAGGCAGAGGTGGGCCCACAGTACCTGCCTTGTTGGGTTGTCTGTGGAGCCCTCTGGCCACCCCCCAAAGGAGATGGAAGACGACATCTGGACAGTGAGGAGGAGGAGGGTCCTCGGCCTATGCTGAGGGTCCCAGAGGACCTGGAGAGCTGGGAGGCCATGGTGAGCCTGACTCCCCCTGCACCGATTTTACCACCTTCCTCTGTGGTCCCTGCCAGACCCCTTTATGCTCTTACTTTCCCTGCCTTCTGATTTCTCTGGACCCTCATCCCTTCCAGGAGCCAGTGGTCAGACCCCATTTCACCTGTGACCAACAGGTGCACACTCTGAGGCCCCAAGGGAAGGGGCCGCGTTCCACCCCTCTGCCCCATTTGTTCTGTGTATGCCCCTAAAAGAATGCTCAGGTCTTGCCCTCAGGTGCCATTTTTCAAATCCGCTGGAGCCAGTGCCCAGGAGGAGCAGGCACGGTTATCAGAGCAGGTGAAAGAGCAGAGGGTGTGCTGCCAGCGCCTGGCTCACCCGGTGGCCTCGGCCCAGAAGGAGCCAGAGGCAGCGGTCCCAGCCCCAGGGACTGGGGGTGAGTCTGTGAGTGGGGAGACCCCCTGGACCCTGCAGGAAGTCATGGAGAAGGTGTCCTATACCAGGACTCACTTTCAGCTTCCCCGTGACTTGAAAGTGCCACCTGAGGGCAGGTTGCTGTCGAGATGTGACCACATTATTTTGGCTCCAGAGCGGCTGTATGGACCACCTGGAGAAGGCGGACCTGAGGGAGCAGGTGGAGAAACAAGAACTTTGATTCATCCAGTACTGGAGAGAGAGATGCCATCAGTGAGTGGGAGGCCAGGGCACGGCAGGGGGAGCTACAGGGCCCTAGGAGGGTCCCCAGCGTCTGAGCCCTGTCCTCCTGCAGGAACGTTCATCACCTTGTAACAGAGCCAGGGGCTAGTGCCAAAGATGCGGCAATGGGAGGAGGACATCATCAGGCTGGCCCAGGACAGGGAGGAGATGAAGGTAGCGTGTGCAACATCTCTGTGGGGGTGGGCGTAGGCGTGAGGGTGGGCGCCGGCAGCGGCGTGACAGCTGAGCACTCCTCCCTCCAGGTGAAGCTGCTGGCGCTGCAGGAGATGCTGTTGCAGCTTGTGGTGACTACAACAAGGGGCACCACAAATTCCTGGCCACTGCCCAGAACCCTGCTGATAAGCCCGGTCCAGGAGCCCCAGCCCCCCAGGAGCTTGGGGCTGCCGACAAGCATGGTGGTGAGTAGAGCCCTCAGGCGGGGCGGGCAGGCAGGAGCAGGGGGTGGTAGCGCTGCGCTCAGATCCCCACCTCCAACTCTCCAAAGATCTTTGTGAGATGAGCCTCACCGACAGCGAGGAGCCTGCACAAGCAGAGGCCACGGAGGGATCTCCCCAGGACAACCATTCTGCACAGCCCACGTGCAGGAGCACCAGGAGCACCCAGGCTTGGGCAGCAACCGCTCTGTGCCGTTCTTTTGCTGGGCTTGGCTGCAGAGAAGAAGGAGATAAACATCACCGTCATCAAAGAGCTGCTCAAGACATTTTTTAAAAAGAAACAAACTTGTGGGGTTAATCTCCTACACAATTCATTTACTTCATTTGCATGTTAGAGCTACTCATGATGATTTGTGTTTCTAATTTATATTTTATTTGTAAGAAGTTAAAAGAGAGTGGGTCTCTGTGGCTTTCACTGATGTTCATTCTAGTTAGCATTTTTCTTTTTTAATTTCATAATTGTAGGTCATTAGCATGCATATCGAGTTTGGCCTTACATGGTGGGAGTTCAAACACATGAAGACCCACTGTTTGCATAGAACTATTCTCACTGGTTTGGCATAGGCTGCCATGCTTTTTAAATGTTATTACAGCGTGTATGTTCATTACAGAATTCAGATAAAATTTCCTTATATTGTGCTATTGTTTGATCTAATCTTAATCACAGCAAGGTCTTCATTCGCTCAATATGTGGTTTACCCCCAAGTGTGCACTGTTGATTGCTTTGTAATACGCCACCGTGAGTACTGACATTAGAGTTGTTTAAAGTCCGAGAACTGGAAACAGCCTTTCCCCCATTTTCTGTGTACTGGTGATGGGAGTAATAACGTTTTGGGGGAGCTTTTTAAATCTTACCGAAGAGGACAGTGGCCTGCTCCAGCAGGAATGTGCGGGATACAGTGTGTTTCATTTGTTCCGGTACCAAGAATGAGCGCTGTACTATGGCAGTTCCCTTAGGATTCGTGTGTGCTCTGGGCTCATGAAGATATTGCATCAGGAGCTGTAGCAGTTGTATACTTTTTCGATGACCTAAAAAGGGATTATTTCTGAGGAATGAAAGGTTTGCATCATTGACTGGATGTGGAAAACTTTTCCTAGCTTAGAGCATTTGTATCTATAATATATTTTAAAGTCAGAGTTCATGTTACCTGTTTTAATCACATGACTACATGTCCCAGTTCACAAAAGGGTGCTGGCTGGCATTCTTCTTAATGTATTTAGTAAAGATAATAAGAAATCCTTTATGAGTTTAAATGTCCCAGGAACATGTATACAGGCTGTAGTCAAGAATAAGTTAGAGTGAAGGAAAGCCGTGTGACACCTGGCATTCCTCTCTGTTCACGGAGCTTCTTTGAGGCTTGAAGATTGATTTTACCATCTAGACCTCTCTGGCTAATACCTATTCTTCAAACACCTTGGTTACTCTGACATAGGAATTTACTTCTTTTCCTTGAATGGAAAACACTTTAAAAATTAATAACAAACATTATTATAAACTAATATATGTGAGAGTACTTAGTTGAAACAAAAAGGAGTTTTAGTAGACAGTATTATACTAGCTTTGAAAATCAAGGAGAAGTCTATGCAACTTAAAATGTTTACAAACTGCAGTGCAATCTACTGTTTGTGAATGTCAATGTATTATCAGGAAATGTGTCTATACAATCACAGGTATATTTCCTCACAAACTTCTTTATGAAGAGTGAAATATGTTTTTGTACCTCTCGGTTTCAGTTAGGGATATATTTTGTGCAATATTTATGTGACTGTGCCTATGCATGATGAATGAATGAATTTCAGTCATATATTGCCTAAATCATAACTTGATGATGCTTGGGAAAGAATCAACAGTTAAAACTTCATGAAGTTCTAATATCTGTGTCCAAAACACATCACAGTATTAGGATGTAGGGAGATATGTACGTGTGCTCCCTGGGGTGGGGATTTCTAGTTACTAGACCATCTCCATTTTCAGCATTTGGCATCCTCATGACACTTTTATAAATATGATATTAACAGAAGAGCAAAATACGATTTTATGATGGAATAACTGATTTGCCTGCATTCACTGAAAAAGTGCTAATATTGGGTCCTTGTGACTTCAACTGACTCTTTCAAATTGTATGAATGTGTCAACGTATCAGATACACCCAGTTTCAGAATGATAAAGAAAAATGTTAGACCACATAATGCAGCTAATTAATAGTGGTACGATTAATAGTGCTACTGTGTTTTTCCTTTCTGTTGGAGCACAAGAACATTCAATAGAATTTCCACTAAAGAGGAGCTGTGAGTATATTAGTGGGAGGGGAAGTGGAAGTGTCATCTATTTTTTAAAAGGTGGCAGATCCACAATATATAGTGAAAAATGGGGAGAAGGAAAAGCCAAAACAAATGAACTCATTTAAAAACATTATCTGCATTACCCTGGAAGTTATCAAAATTGTATATGCTATATCAATATATTTTTGGAACCATTTTATGGAAGTATTCTTGATAGAGTTTGAAGGCATTTAATGCATGCTCTTTTTTTCAGGTGTCCAAAGAGAAGTGCGCTTTTTGCAATAGATTGATATTCTCTAAGCCTGCTTCCCACACCAACTAATATCAGATTCACTAGAGTTTATTAAGAATAGATTTCTAGCTCTTACTCCCAACCAAATTAATCATAGTTTTTGGGAACTAACCCAGGTATCTTCATTTTCAACCAGCATCTAAGATTTGGCTAGTAAGTTGTGAGAGTCAACAGATTTTACTTTTTTTTTATATGACATAGATGTAGGCAGAAATATCTAAATACAGTTATAATCACCCCAAATCTTTTTTTTCCAACTATCATAAATTACCACAAAAATTTTGTTCCATGTGAAAAGATTACCTAATGAATGAATAAGTAACTTGGAACTTTAAAGAAAATGGACACTCATTCATACACGTATGTAGAGGAAGTGCACTGCAGTAGAAGAATTTCTTTTCTAGATTAATGGTTGTAAATGTCCCCAATCAAATATTAGTTAATAAGGCAACATTGTCCTTTGAAAAATAATTTGAGAAATGACAGTAATTTCATTTCTGCTACTAATTTTTACCTCTGATTGCTAAATGATCTAACAACTACCCATTGTTCTCCCTGTGTTTGTTTTCTAGTGTAAATTTGGTAGACTTAATTACAGGTGATAATAGTAGCATTTTTGAGGAATGACAATCTTGTGCATTTTAATGCATGATTATGAAAGCACTCTTGACAAATGAATTAATCACCTACACAAAATAGGAACAGGTGTAAATGCAGGTCAGTCAAATGGAAGATCAATCATGTGAAGCAATATTTTCCAACAGTTCTTTTGAGAGATATTCAGAGAAACAAGAAGGAAAGTACGTTTCAAATAATCTTGGAGATGCTATATCTTAAAACATACTAGGTACATTTTTGTTTGTTTTTAACTCCAAGATTTCTTAAACAACGAACAGACCAATGTGCAGTGAATTTCTTGGAGGCAACTGTATAGTTCACTGTTGAATGTATTTGGCAACAAGACATTTTTGCAGTTATCTTGTGGGACTAGGATAATGTGAGATGGATTCAGAAAATCTGAATTTAAGAGTATACAGCTCTGATGAACCACATTATCTATTACTTCTAGCCAGTTTAAGATCTGTTTCTAGGAAAAACAATGAATTTTAGACTTGTGTACTACACGTAGTATGGCCCATTATAAAAGTTTAAAAACCTTCCCTTATCCTCCTTTTTCCCAAAAGCATATATAATTCTTTTGCCTTGAGAATGAATAACGGTTTTTTATCACTTCAAACATGATTGAGTAACCTACAAAGGCCCAAATACAGTGGGAAAGACAGAAGAGAGTACCAAATTCGTTGGTTATTGATTATAGCTCTGCTGATTTTGTGCCCTCCCATCTTGGTCATTTTTATGGGTTCTAACATATTCCATCTGTTGAGCACCTATCTCTCTGTGTCTTTGAACTGACACTGAACACATGGTGGACTCTAATTAGTTCTTTTACAATTTCCAGGAGTATGCCCTTACCTGTTTATTTGAAATCTCATGGTCTCTTGATAGCTCTTTACTATCTACACTGTTATGCATAGTTCAAAGATACAGAAAACACAGTGGACATAGAGATCAACTAACTCACACTACAAAAGAGGAAATACAACATATTACTTCTTATCTACTCCTGTCCGTGTGACTTTGCAATGTAATCATGATTCTTTGAAACCTCGCTGATTTCTACAGTCTCCAGACCTAAATTCTCCAAAGTGATACCTTCAAACTACTGCTTAGGACATGGCCTGTCCCTAGGGGAGAGTGAGGTACCCCCCAATCCCCGCCACTCACATAGAAACGTTTATGGGAATAGGACTAAGCTAAAAATTCATGAGGCAATGAACTGTTTCTGAGCCAGTGCTAGCATTGTTTCACATCTCTGTATTCCAGGGCTTAGCTTTGCAGCTGCTGCCTAACATAGAGAAAGCCCTCAGTATCTTTGTGTTAGAGGAATAATCAGAAAATAGAGATAAATAGATAAATAGATAAACAGCTAGAGGAAATTATATAACCAGAGCTAATTTTCAACAATACAAACTGTATTCCTTGAAGGACATGGTCTAAAATTTATCTTTTTAAGGTAGAAAAATGATTATCTTCTTTACTGTATTTCCAAAAACCATGATTAAGCCCTCATCAATTTCTGTGGCTGTGATCAGATATTTTATACTCCGGATAATTAGTGGACAGTTTTGCACCTTTGATTTGATATTGTACCATCAGTATTCAACAGTTATTTTAACCACTACTGAAATATTTTAAATCCACTGCCATTTAATCGTAGTAATTATCCTTTCTGCAGAAGTTTCCAGTGACAGAGAACTATCCTGTATTTGACAGCCAATGATGAATAGTGCTTTTTTGACACTAAGTTTTCAGGCTAGCAAGTAAATGAGGATCCTTCACATTTTCTTTGCTTTGCCTTGCCAAGTGTCAAAACTGTAAGTCCTCTGGCTGACATTTGACTTGGTGAAACTATAACTGGCTCATTGGTTGTGGGTCTGTTAGAGAAAAATTATATATATAATCAACTGTCAGCTCAGATGAATTTCTCAGCTATATTGCTTACTTTTGTTGGTCACAGCATTAACTGGAAAATGTATTTTCCTCTCTAATCTCCCTTAGAAAATAATAATTGAATTCATTTCCCACACATAAAAACTCTCATCTCCTGCTTTGTTTTTTTTTATAAAGAGAAACTTT